AATAATAGGGATTAGTGCCTTTTTAGTTGCGAGTTTTTTTAAAAAAAAAAAATTAAAAACAAAAAGGACAAAAGTTGTTGACTATTGGACTTTTCATTGTAAAAGTAAAAAGTTGTTATACTTTTTATAGTTTCTAAGTAACTAAAAGGACAAAAGTTACACCTACATAGAGGACAAAACTGTGTGTGAACGTTTTATATATCAAAAAAACGAATTAAAACTAAAATGTGGCAATGGGGATTCGATCCCGGGTTGGCTGGGAAAATTGAACCCCCTCAACCACTTGGCTAAGCTTCAGACTTGTGTTAGTGGGTTCAAAATTTAATATATACATATAAAATTTTAAAAACTGATTAAATATACATATATATACAGTGTTATTTTTCAACGAAGTGGGTTCATATGAACCCCACTTGAACCACTGTAGGTCCGCCCCTGCTTGTAGCAAATGGGGATGATGACACAATATATTCGCTTAGTTTATTTGACTTTAATAGGATTTACAGTTGTTCGCAATTAATTTTTGGTATACCAAAAATTAACTGCCAGTAAAACTAAATAAAAGAAAAGGTCATTTTTATTGATGAAATTGTGTATAATTTCGTTACTCTCTAGATTCTTCTTTCCTAAACTTCTCCAAGATTCGAGGGCCTTCAATAGCAAACTTCTCGAATTGTTGGATGATTTGGATCTCCTAGAGATGTATTGCAATCGTGGGAAATGTTGGTTAGTGCTTTGTTGCTTTAGAAAAGATCTTTGGAAAAAATTACGTTGGTAACTCCTTGAAAGAACTATGTAGTAGATATTGTAGTTTTCTACAATGCTTGCTCCAATGCTTGTTGAAGTGTTTGCAGAATACCTCTGAATGTCGTGTCTATCCCCTATTTATAGTTGTAATGGGTGGACAATGTTACTTATGAATGGCCAAAAGATGTCATTTTGACACTTGGCGAAGTGGATTGGTGTAAGACTTGGAGAAGATCTCACTTTCTCTACTCATTCAATTGTAGCATACACGTACATATTAAATAGATACAGAAGAGATAGCCTCCTAAAATAATAAGAAGTCTGGAAACAGAGGAAATAAACTTATATCCCCCTCAAGGGAAGTTGTGTGTCCACAACAACGAGCTTGTCACGCTGAAACTGAAATCTTCGAACCGGCAAGCTTTTGTTCAATGTGTCTGCTACCTGATCCAGTGAGCTAATGTATCTGACCTCAAGATCCTTCGAAGCTATTTTTTCTCTGATAAAATGAAAGTCTAATTCAATGTGCTTTGTGCGTGCATGAAAAATTGGATTAGTAGTAAAATAAATAGCATAAGGGTTGTCACACCAAAGCTTAGGTGTGACAACCTTGGTTTGAGTTAGCATTAAACCTTGTGAACTTCTACACCCAAGAAGTAGTGTAATCTGCCAAGGTCCTTCAAACTGAGAGCTTATCAATTTGATTTTTGATGAAGGCATCTGGATTTCCAGTGATAATATGGTCATCAACATAGACCAACACAATGATGAATATGTCGCTAGAATGGAAAATGAATAGTGATAATTAACCCTGGAGGCAAGAAATCCAACATGAAGTAACACACTACTTAGTTTCGCAAACCAAGCTCGGGGGGGCTTGTTTAAGGCTATATAGAGCCTTGTGAAGTCTACAAACATGTTTTGGATCAACAAACCCGGTAGGTTGAGTCATATAGACCTCCTCATCTAATTCACCGTGTAAAAAGGCATTCTTGACATCGAGTTGTCGTAGTGACCAACCTTTTGATAAAGTTAAAGTAAGAACCACTCTAATGGTAGTAGTCTTCACTACTGGACTGAATGTGTCATGATAATCAATGTCAGGCTCTTGATTAAATCCTTTAACAACTAAATGAGCCTTGTATCGCTCTATATAACCATCTGTATGGAGCTTAAGTTTAAAATATCCACTTACTACCAATAATGTTCTTTGCATTGGATGCGTGCATAAGGGTCCATGTACCATTTTGGATGAGAGCATTATATTCCTCTTGCATAGCCTTTCTCCAACTTGCATCCTTATTGGCTTGGGAGAAACAAGCAGGCTCGATGGGTAGATCGGAGAATTTGAAAGGGGATATTTGGTGGTCAAGTTGGCTTTAGATTGTTAGTGTTTTGCTGTATATCTAGTGATCATATGGTGTGGGACATAAGTAGTGTTGTGTCGTTCGGACTGTAAAGGTGAAGGGACAACACTCGGTAATAAGGGCAAGTCAACAGTGACATTCACAGTCGTAAGTAAATTTGATGACAGTGGTGGAGACTTGGGAGAAGTATTAGCTGGAAGGGATGGTATTAAAGCACCTGAAAGGGTTGGATTGATAAGAGATTTTATGGGAGTTGAATGTAAGGAATAAAGAGGTGTTGGTGCTGAAAAAGGGGCAATTACATATAACATTGAAGGAACTTGTGAAGGAGGCAGTGGCACGGGCAATGTACTGTTGTTTAGTGCAAACGGGAAAATCGACTCTTCAAAGACAACATGTCGACGAGTGATATAGATTCGACCACTAGGTATATGAATACATTTATAGCCTTTATGTATTGGGCTATAACCAAGAAAGAGACATCGAGAAGATCTAAAAGCAAGTTTGTGAGAGTTGAATGGTCGTAAATAAGGATACAAGCACACCCAAAAACATTTAAGAAATTATAATCAGGAATTTTCTTATATAATTTCTCAAAAGGTGATATGTTATGAAGGATAAGAGTAGGCATACGACTGATGAGATACACGACAGTAGAAAAGGCATCATCCCAAAAATGAAGAGGAAGTGAGGCATGCACCAATAACAGTTTTCGTTCGGCGGATCCATTTTGTTCATGGATATGAGGACAAGAAATATGATGCAGAATACCAACTTAGTCAAAGAACTTTGAACATTTTAGATATTCCCCACCCCAATCAGATTGAACTATTTTAATTTTGCGTTCAAAATAATTTTCAACTTGATATTTAAATCGTAGAAAAAACGAGTAGACTTCACTTTTAAAGGACATGGGATAATACCAAGTGAATTTTGTGCGATCATCAATGAAGATAACATAGTAACGAAATTTATTATTTGATAAATAAGAGGCAGGGCAGGACCCCATGCATCAGAGTGAATCAAGTCTAAAGGATTCAAAGAAAAATAAGAGGATGATGTAAAAGGTAATTTATGACTTTTTCCTTGTTGACAAGACCCACAAATGCTAGAACTCTTATTTGCTAGAATGGAAAAATCAAGTGTTCTAGCAACACTTTGAACTACTTTTATTGAGGGGTGACCTAATCTATTATGCCAAACATCGAAAAAGGATTTGGACGAAAGAAAAACTTGTGATTTATTTAAGGACTGCCAGTTGGATCTTCGGTGAAAAGAAGCTTGTAAAGGCCATGCTCAAGTCTCCCTTACAATAGCACCTTCCTCATTGTCCGATCCTTCACAACACAAAAGTTAGGATGAAATTCAAAATAAACATTGTTGTCAGCAGTAACTTAAGCCACACTTAGTAATTTCAGGGACAAATAAGATTTTATTTAAGTGCAAGGCTCTAGATGATGATAATAATTTAGAATCACCAATATGAGAAATTTTCAAACCAGCTCCATTACCAACCAAAATTTTGTATGTACCATGGTAGTCTCCTCTAAGAGCCAAATTGTTGAGATGATCATTTGTAAGATGCATGGTACGTAGCACTAGAATCTGGATACCAAGCTGGATCAGATACAACATTTGGTGGAGCGATGTAGGCTGCCATTTGAGTTTGTGCATTGACTTGATAAGAATGATAAAACCTATGATAACGAAATTGAGAGACATATGACCAAACTTATAACACACTTAGCTTGACATTGTGATGAACCTGTAAAATTGTGAGGCTGACGATGTGCATTATTGAACCTGCCACCACATCCTCGACCCCTTCCCGAGCGTCCTCCATAATGTTGATTCAGGTTTGGGTTAGAGTTCTTTTTGTAGCCATCATCACATTTAGGATTAAAATTTGAAGATTTTGCAGTAAAGTGCACTTGCCTTTGTTCAATAGTACTTAGATTTTCAAGACGTGTCTCATGGCTTAGCAAAAACCCATGTAAGTCAGCAAGGGATATGATTTCAACTCTATAGGTAATAGAGACCACCAATGCATCATAATCGGGATCTAAGCCACCAAGAATATACAATGTAAGATCTTCCTCACTAAGAGGTTGTGCCGCAACAGTCAAGTTATCAGCAATATATTTCATTTTCTGTAAATAGTTTATCATAGATGTGGATCCCTTTTCTAGTTGTATGAAGTTGTAGGCGGAGTTGCATCAATCGCGCCTTTGACTGTGATGCGAACATAGTTCCAGGGCTTGCCAAACCTCCATGACTATGGTACAACCAACAACTTGCCCCAAAACACTCTTTGTGAGTGTTGACAAGAACCAACTCAGGAGTAATTGGTCATGTTTCCGCCATGCCAAATAATTTGGATTAATAGTAGCTTCGGCAGAGGTTTCTTTTATCAAGCTACTTGCAACAAATTTTGATGGACATTTGTGAGACCCATCTACATAACCTTCAAGGCCATGTCCTCTTAGAGTAGGTAAAACTTGGGACTTCCACAAAATATAATTATTTCTGTCCAACTTAATAATATTTTTTTGGTAATAACTGTGAACTACTACCATTACTCCAACATGAACTTCAAAATTACAACTTAAAGAGCACCTTTAGTCCCAACCACCTCTAAGAAGATGTTTAGGACTATCCAGGCCTCAAGCAAAACTATTCCAGGAAAAAACCATAAGCTATTACCAAATACAAACAATTTTATTCTTTTGATCTAAACTATTTATTCTCTAGTTAGTCTTCTCACAGAGTCTGACACCTCACGGCACCCCTTGTGTTCTGGAGAGTGGCTAGTCGAGCTCTCACTTCTTCCTGTATCTGTACAATTGCACAACTTGTACTCATATCTATGCTTCAAAAAATCTTCTAATTCTTTGCTTTCCATGTGTGATAGATCATTGCCCCCCAAATTGCCACCACAATTTCCTTTTGTATTTGCTTTCATTTTCTTCGTTTCAGCCATTTCAGACTTTGTGGGACATCCTTCTGAATCATTTGGACCTCTGACCATTTTGCCAAACCATGTCGAACTGCAGTAATCCATTCACACTCGGAGAAAATATATTGAGGAGTTTCTACCACCCCTGCCAAACAGAGACAACACTTTGTATGCTCCACATGAATGTTCAATCTCATCATTCTAGACTTAGTGAGCAGTCTGTTCTGGTTTGCTAACCATACGATAAATCTATGTTTTGACTGCATAATTTTTGTCCATATAAGGTTTGCTTCCCAAAGCCTGGTTTGAGCCCCTATCAATACATTATAGCTCCTTGTTACTGAATAAGTGCCACATTTTGTCAGCTTGTATTTGTCATTTTGGTACCAATCTACCATCTTAGTTTTCAGAGAGGTCAACTTTCTCCAATACCAACTACAATCTGTAGGTGGTATGTGATTCCAAATATTTCCATGTTGCTTTATATACACTCCATGTACCTATTTTACCTAGAGAATGTCTTGTTTTTCTGAAACCTGCCATAATAACTTCCCAACTGAAGCTTCATTCCAATTTTTGCACCCCTTAACATTTAGTCCTCCAAATTTCTTTGGACGCACACCTTGTCCCAAGCAACCAAATGTGCTTTTCTCTGATCTGTACTACTTCCCCATATAAAATCTTTGCATTTTCTATCCACGGCCTTGAGCACACTTTGAGGTAAGATAAAGACTCCACCCAAATAATTAAATAGCGAAAAGAAGACATCATTGACTATTTGTAGTCTTCCTGTATAAGAGAGCTTCCTAGCATAAGCATTTGTTACCCTCTCTGTAATCTTCTCCACTAGTTGGTGACACTCCATCTTACCCCATTTCTTTGAAGATAGTGAAAGCCCAAGATACCTAATAGGTAGAGTACCTAAAGAGTATCCTGTCATTTCTAATATCTCCTCATTTAAATCATCAGTGATCCCAGCTAGAAAAATATTGGATTTCTCCACATTAGCCACTAATCTAGTGGTATCACTAAAGTGCTCCAAAGCTTCCCGGACTCTTTGAATGGACCTTATATTCCCTTTGCAGAAAATCATTAGATCATCCGCAAATATTAAGTGAGTCAACCTTTGCTCCTTACACATGGGATGAAATTTGAAATCTGGAAGTTCACTCATTCTGCTAAGTGTTCGAGTGAGATATTCAATAACCAAGACAAATAACAGATGAGAGATTGGATCTCATTGCCTCAATCCTCTATGTCATGCAAAGTAGCCATGCCCCTCTCCATTTATCCTTACAGATAACTTGGTAGAGGATATACACACCATAACCATTTGAATAAATGAACTAGGAAAACCATACCCCCTCTAGTGCTTCTATAACAATTCCCAACTAACCATGTCATATGCCTTTCTCAGGTCGATCTTCATCATACACCTTGGTGAAGTATTCTGTTATAGTGCCTCAATATATCATGACATACCAATACGTTGTGTACTAGAGACCTCCTTGTAACAAAAGTTGCTTGTTTATCAGACACCAGGCTAGGCAGTACCTCATTCAATCTTTCACATAATAGTTTAAAGATGCATTTATATAGGATGTTGCAACATGAAATGGGTCTAAACTGACTAGCCGATTGTGGGGCTGGTACTTTGGGAATTAAAGAGATCATTGTAGCATTTAATTGCTTCAAAAATTCTCCATTCCTAAAGAATTGCAAAACTGCCTCCGTAACATCATTTCCCACAACTTTCCAAGCCTTTTTGTAAAAATCACTTCCATATCCATATGGACCAGGGCTCTTATTACTGCCAATGTTAAAAATGGCTTTCTTGACATCATTTTTAGTATATTCCCTTATCAACTCAACTTGCGTGATGAATGTTAAAGTATGGCCATATCTCAGGAAATTCCTCAAAGCCTTTCTTCTGTTGATCTCCTTAGTACCTAGCAAATCTTGGTAAAACGCCACGAATACATTAGCTATGCATTCATGCTTTGTTTGAAGCACTCTTGTGCTATCTTTCACTTGCATTATAGCCTGCTGCAGGTGGTTGATCACAAAAAAAAAGTATATGGAGTTATTATTCCCTAATTGAATCCAAGTTACTTTGCTCCTCTGTTGTAGATACACCTCTGCTAGATATGAAGATTTTCTGAATTTCTGATACTGCGCCTTTTCTTTTTGTTATAGATTACTGTCCATGGGGTTAGCATGTAGAGCTGACGGTGCTGACGCCAATGCCTCTCTATCTTCATCTTCCTCTACCACTATATTCGAAAGTGTTGCTTATTCAATTTCCTTAGCTCCACCTTCAACATTTTTTGCTTCTTTACCAACTGGAATATTTTACATGCACTAACATAAACTTCCCAGATTATTTCTACTATTTCCATAAACTTTGGGTGACTCGACCATACATTACAGTATTTAAATTGTCTAGACCTTCTGTTACCATTAATTCTCTCTAGCTTCGCTGGACAATGATCGCTTATTCCCTCGTTGAGAAAAGTAGCACTATAATCTGGCATCTTGTTCAACCATATTATATTTACAAACACCCGGTCAATCTTCGAAAAAGTCTTATTACTTCTTTGCTTATCACTCCATGTGTACCTACTCCAATGTGGAGGGAGTTCTATAAGTCCACATTTTCCAATACATGCCTGCATGTCTAGTACTTCGACCATCGAAACAAGATTCCCACCACATCTATCATCCATATTAAGAATTGAGTTAAAATCCCTCATGATGAGCCATGGATCGTTACATCTCATGCTCACCCTCTCCATATACCTCCACAAATCCTTCCTATCCTCCCTGGTATTAAAACACCACTCTTAGAATGAATAGAATTTTTACTCCATTATGTATTACCCGACTAGCTACTGTTTGAGCACTACTACTTTCTTCCACTACTTTGAACACATCCGGCCTCCAAGTGAGCCAAATTCTTCCATTGTAGTGATGTTGTAAGTTTGTGATAAATTCCCATCCCCTAAACATTTTCCTTGCAATTTTCTTGATCTTCCCAGCTTTTATTTTTGTTTCAACCAGCACAATTAGTCCTACCCTCTCTTTATTGCAAAGGATATTAACCTCATTTTGCTTATTAGGGCCATTGAAACCCCCTAATGTTCCAGCATATCATGTTATCCATTCCTAATAATAGGGATATTACTGCCTCCCATATTTCTGGATTGACTTGTCACTCCCTTTGTGTTTATTGATTCTTGGTTCAGAACTTGGAATGTGTTCTTAACCAGCCCCATCTGCCTTTGCTTATAGTGTTCTTGTTGTACATTTGTTGGCCTCTGTATCCTTGTTGGCTTAATCCATTCAGTATTACCCTGCTTTGTTGGAGATGGCGTCTTCGTCATCTTCCCAGTTCCTGTCTTCGCACCTCCAACTTGTGTAGCTTATGGCATTCCTTCATCTGTCTTAGCCTTCCTTTCTCGATTCTGGTCCGATCCTAGTCTTTTTCCTCTCCTGGTGGTTTATTCTTCCTGCATTCCTTTATATTATGCCCATACTTTTTGCAAAATTTACATATTATAGGCCTCCAATCATATTGAACTTTCTGCTCAACCAAATTCCCCCTTTCATTTTTAAACATCACCCTTTCTGGCAAGTCCGTATCAATGTCCACTTCAATAAGGAGTCTTGCAAAATTCAACCCTTGTTTCTTTTCAGTGTGACTGTCTACCATCAAAGGTTTCTCGATGAGACTTCCAATTTTACTCAAACTGATTGGGCTCCAGTACTTGAAATCCAGGCCAGGTAGCTTAACCCATATTGGTACTGAGTGAAGTTCATCCCTCGTGAACTCCATCTCAGGAGACCATGCCTTTACAATAAATGGCTTGTTGTCGAAATGGTATATTCCTCCTTGAACAACATCATCCTTACCTGTTGCAGCTTCAAATTTAACAATAACTATGCCATTTTGTAGCATTGCAACCTTGTTGATACCCCACTTTTCCCACAGACGTTGGATAAAACCATTCAACACAGCAAAAGAGGGATGAGCCCCAAGCACATAGCAGATTACAGAGTGTTTCCAATAGTCTATTTCAGTACCAATATCTTCAATTTTGATTTCACATACAGGAATCTCCCCTTGCATTTCTGGCGCAACATAATCAATTTGAACCCCGCATTTGAGATCTTAGTAATATCAAAATTATCCTAGATAGACGGCTTCTTCATTCTATCCGGCATGGCCTCTACTTCATCAGCCCAAGACATTTTGGAAGTTGAACTATGTATTTCAGACCACTCTTCCCGCAGCTGCCTCGCATCAGTGTGATTCCCCACTTCCATGTTTGACTTTACAATTTTTGGTGTGGGTTGAGCTTCAACCGAATTTTGCAGCTCGCTACCTACCGTCACTCTCATCAATTTTGGACTATTACTCTCATTCGTCACCTTCACTTGCCCTGTTTTATTACTAGGTTTAGCACCCTCCCCTTTTTCGATAGTGTCGCACTTTCTTCCGTTGTTCCCTCTTTCGCCCTTAGTGTGTGAGTTCCTTTCGTTGTGTTCCCTTGTGCCATTAACGCCTTCTGTGAGGGGATACGAGCTTTATTTCCTATGGATGGCGTACATTATGCTAACCTACGTTGAGAGAGACTCATATCATGTGCCACTTCTTCGTCAAATTTTTATTTTGATATAATAAGAAGTCTGGAAACAGAGGAAATAAACTCCAAATGATATAAGGTACCTATCCTAGAGATATCCTAACAATTGGTTCTTGAATTTTACTAGAACTACCACATCATTTGGATACGTGATTTCATCTTATTAGTCTTGTATGCGTCGTCATCATGGCATATGGCATGAGTTTAGGCTTCAAGGTGTAATGGACCAGACTTGAAATTATTAAAATGGACTAATTAATTTGTAAAGTCCAAACTAATTAATCAACCCAAATGAACATGAATTTCAAATTTTTGTATGAATTTAACCCAATAAAATTTATATGTCTACAAATGCCCCTTACTTTGAGACTTATTGACGTATAGACGTGCCGAAACTTGACAATGAGACTTAAAATATTCATGATTGTGTTTTAATTTGTGTGGCTTCAAAAGTGGTTATTTCTTGTTGTCGCATTCTAGCTAGGCCACTACTTGCAAGTTATCTAACTAAAATTTCTTTCGTGCACTTTCACACAGTAAAATTCCTCACCAAATTAAAGTAACACATAATTTGTTTGTAGTGATCTCTATTAATTTATTTTTTAAATCATTCTTGTTCGACAATAATATGACCCCTCTATATGTATTTGAAATAGAAGGGTCTTACTGAGTAATCACCTTGAGTAATCACCTTTTCTTACTGTAACATTGTCATAAGAAATAAGAAAAAAATTGATTGGAACATTAAAACCAAAAAAGAATATTTACTCTCCTTTGGAATTCAAAAGGGATCAAAATTTTCTCCAAAGAAATCTCATTCAATATGGTAGTTTTCCAATTAACGAGTCAACTACTCGAAAATTGATATGCTGTCAAGGATTTTGTTCAATTACCATGGAACAAAACTCTCTAAAAGATTTACGTCGATCAATTCATAATCATATTTAGAGATCCCATAAATATTCACATGTTCTAAATTAAGATCTCCTTCTTTCCTTAAGTTGTTGGTTCATTCTTTCTCTATCCATTGATATGATTTTGAAAATTAATGGTAATTTCAATTAACCCAAATTAGATTTTCTTTTTCCAATTTCACTATAACTTTCCTAGTACAAGGATTGAGAATCATTCACTAGAACCTTTATATAAGTTTTTTCAAAGCATAAAAGATTTTCATCAACGAATTCAAAATCTGTAAAGAAAAGTTACTTGAGTGTGTTTAACTGCTAAGCTGTGACACCACTTAATTTTATTGAATCGAGAGACATAGGCCTCTATATCACAAAAACTTGAAGCAAAAATAATCTTTGTACTTTCTCATATAACTTTAACTTAATTTTATAGTTAGCCATTTTTATGACTAAGATTTACACGCTTATAGTAAAATTCATAGCTCGCTGTGGAAAAATTGAAATCACATGTCGTTTGATTTTTTCCAAACTAGAAACATGAAACTATACTTAGCAAAGATTTGTAGCCAAATTCCTTCTGCATTGATATATTTTTTTTAAAATTTATTATTGAACTCAACTTCAGATTTTTCATCTTTTGATTTCTCCAATTTTGTTTTACTAATGTAACCTCGATTTTTTTATCAGACCAACGTTGTGCGATCTTGATTTCCAACAGCGACAACAAATTTAGTGATAGAGAGATGTCATACCCTTTTCTTGATAATAAGAAAAATCAATGTGTCAAAGTTCTTGCCTTGAAAATTCATCTTTCGGTGATTGGCGGCTTCCCGCTTATTAGAAAGATGTTGGACATTCCCCTTCATCTCCCAGAATAATTGACACCGGTCTTCATTCTATATTTAATTAAGGGAAAATGCATAAGTACCCCCCCAACCTATGCCCGAAATTTCAGAGACACGCTTATACTATACTAAGGGCCTATTACCTCCCCCCCGAACTTATTTTATAAATAATTTTCTACCTCTTTTCGGCCTACGTGGCACTATTTTTTGGACCCCGCGCGTGTTGACAATTTTTTCATTGATAGTGCCACGTAGGCCGAAAAGAGGTAGAAAATTATTTATAAAATAAGTTCGAGCGGGTAATAGGACCTTAGTATAGTATAAGTGTGTCTCTGGGATTTCGGACATAAGTTGGGGGGTACTTATGCATTTTCCCTTTAATTAACTTATAAGTGAATGTAATTAACTGCTAATAATCGAATCTACGAGTAACTAAATCAATATGTGTCCTTGATTCCTCCTCTCAATTTCTTATACTTTTAAATTTTGAAGTTTTAAAAAGGAAATAGGAATATTGATCACAAAAATTATAAAGGCTAATGTTGTATGGCCAGAAAATTTGGTCAGAATTTAGCCAAAAATTTAAAAAGTCTATAATATTCTTTTTATTTTAAAATAAACTGATTTTTTTTCATTTTTTAATTAAAAAGTATTAAAGTTAAAAGGATAAAAATGTTCAAAATAAAATAAAATAACATAATGTGAAATATGTTATTTATCATTCTGGCCATTTTCTGACCAAAAGGTAAAAATGAAGATGCATGTCAGACGCGTGAAAAATAGGTTCAAACTAAGTGGTTGCACTCATTTATGAACTTATTAATAATACTGTGAGGAGTAATTAAATGGAATCAATGAAGTTGGTGGTTCTTTGTCTTGCTAACAATTACACACTCATTTGAAAAGGTGTAGTTCTCTTCTTTTAAAAGTTATGAAACTATAACGTATTTTCTTTTTTTCTTCCAAAATAACGTACGTTTGGAGTAAAGGGGTATTTGTGTTTGGTTAAAAATCGATTTAAATTGAAATTGAATTAAATTAATTTTTATTTTGTTTTGGTTTTGATTTAATTTTTATACATTGATAATATTTAATTTGATTTGATTTATTAAAAACAAACTAAACAGAAAATGGAATCAAATCGATACTTATATACACAAATTTTATATAATTTTATGTATACAATATGTTGTTTTTATAAATCGTTTAAATACTTTGTATATTTTTTCATGAAAATTTTATTTATTCTTAATAGGCTAATGAATTTTATACGTTAAGCCCTCATTTATTAAAAATAAGTCGTGAATTCAAACTCATTAGTTTATTCAAAGAAACGTCTATGAGATTTACCTATATATATTAAATGTATTTCTTATCAACTTTATTCAATTGATTAAAGTTTATACAACTTATGATTATTATTTTTCGTGATTCGAGAAAATGATAGCCACCACAATAAAAGATTAATAACGAATTATAGGTTGGAAAACATTTGCAACACCTCTACCTCTATATTTATTGCCTCCATCACCATTGAGCTCCATCTTATAGCTTTTTCTACCTTATTTACCATCTCCAATGGCATAATAAACAATCTCAATATAATGATATGTATAAAATTCTAAAAAGATAATACAGTAATGATAGTCAAAATTTTCTATTTTAACAAAATGGAAGAAGTTAAAGACCAAATCTTGAACTAAAATTCCAAGACTTGAAAAAATTGAGGTTTTTCTTTTAAAGCTCAAAAACTTATATTTTATTTAGGAGTCCGGAGCCTAAAGGGCAAAAAAAATTGTCAAAAATTCCAAAAGGGCACATCACTTTTTTTTCTAACCAAAAGGGCAAAATCGCTGCTGACGCAGCGATTTTCCTCTGACAAAATCGCTACCCTAGCAGCGATTTCGTCTAAAAAAAATTTTTTTATTTTTACAAAATCGCTATTTTTTATTAAAAATCGCTGCCACAGCAGCGATTTTGTTAAATTTTTTTTTTATTATTATTAAAAATCACTGCCATTGTAAAAATTCTTCTTTTTTTTTTGCTGTGACAGCGATTTTAAGTCAGAATTTTTTTTCCTTACACATCGCTGCAGGCGCAGCGTTTTTCATGCCGAGTGCTATTATTTTTATGCCTATTATTACTTATTAATAATATAAAAATGATAAACAAGACAACAGTATACTCAATAAAATTGTTGAAGCATGAGGAAAATTGAATTATATATCATAAATAATAATAAAAGAATATTAAATTCAAACAAAAACTTTTTTTTTTAAATTCTTAACCAAATTCGCTGCTATAGCAGCGATTTTGAAGTAAAAAAAGTTTTTTTTTTTTTGAGAAAATATGCAGCGATTTGTATTTTTGTTTTGTTAGAAGCCCTTTTGGTTAATTTTTTTTTTTGATGTACCGTTTAGTTTTTTTAAAGAAAAAAGCAGCGATTTTTAATTTTAAATAAAAATTTATTTTTTTACAAAATCGCTGCTGCGGCAGCGATTTTTAATTAAAAAAAATAAAAAAATTTTTTAGACGAAATCGCTGCTAGGGCAGCGATTTTGCCCTTTTGGTTAGAATAAAAAGTGATGTGCCCTTTTGGAATTTTTGACAATTTTTTTTTGCCCTTTAGGCTCCGGACTCTTTTATTTAGAGCCATGTGTCATTTTGTTGGTGGCTTATAAGGCCATTTCACCAGTGTGTGAACTGCACACAAATTATATTTTTGAC